ACATTGACGAGTTTTCAGTTGTTGTACTGATAACTGAAATTGTAGGCTGCGTTACTGGCTGCGTGGGCTTTGTGGATTGCGATGCTTTCGACGTGCTAGATAGATAAGAGGTGGTTGAACTTTCAGCTGGTTCTGGTGAAAAAGACTGTGTGACTGTTGCGGTATATGGAAGTCTCGAAGGGGACTTTGGTGAGAGTGAGGATGATGTTGAGAGAGAAGATTGAGCTGTGCTGAGTTCTAGTGTGGACGAGGATGTTGCTGAAGGTGAAGGCTCGGCAGTAGCTGGAGTTGTCGATGGCTTGAGCGAGATCGGTACTGAAGTTGATAAGGTTTCAGAAGTACTTGAAAGTGTTTCTGGCTGAGGAGAGTGTAGAGTTGAAGTGACCGATGGCTCAACAGTGCCTAAAGGTGTTGTAAACATTGAGGATAGTGCCGAAGACGAAAAAATTTGAGGCGCTTCTGAAAGTGTCTGCAGCGATGTTGGAGCTGAACTGGGCAAACGCTCCACCGTTGATGATTGTGGCGTTGATGTGGGCGGTGCCGAAGACGAGGAGAATTCAGGCAGCAGTGAAGATTCGGTTTTACTTGTTCTCGTTGATGGTAATGAAGTCGAGAAAGCTCCAACAGTGCTTGAATGTATTTCTGGCAGAGACGAGGATAATGCCAAAATGGGCGATGCTTCAGAACTCAGAGAACTCAAATATTCTTTTGTAGACACATGAGATTCCGTTGGTTCAGTCAATGTTGCGGTACTACCCTTGGCTAAGGCTGTTGCCGTGGTTCCTATCGTGTTTGATGTTACTTGAGTGGAACCTTGAAAAAGTAAAAGTAAATAATGTTCTGCCAAGTTTCGAAATTCTACATACCTTGATAAGTAGATTCTGTGATGTCCTCGGTGTTCGAAGCATCTGTAGGCGGTGTAGCAGACGACACTGACGCGACTGTGGCGGATGTAATAGAGGTGGAAGCATAGAGCGACGGCGTTGACTCTGCTAGTTGCGTCGATAAATCATCATCACAGCTACTGATCGCCACTGATAGAAGCAGATATACTACTAAAATGTCAATTTTTGATT